TTCATTTGTATAGAGTTGATCATCTTGGATGCATCATCAATTTGAAGCATGTAAAAGGTAAAATAGTGAGTTCAAAGTGTGTTGAATGCGCATGGAATTTCAATTGAAAATAGAATTTTCTGATTATGAAGCATGTACTCGGATCAATAGATGTGGATTTTATTTTATGTAGATATTGCATTAATCCTCATAACAGATGTCTAAGGCCACAAGTCTAAGTAGTTCACTAAAAACCTTACTACTTGCTAGCTTCAGAAAATGCACTGAACATCAAATACTATGCTAGTCTACTCAACATCCATGTGAAATGTTCCGCCTTGCAGACAAATCTTTTGCAGTTTTACCTCCAGGTGTCATTAAATTTTGAAATTCTCTTGCGATCTCTTGTTTGAAGTACTCCAATGTTTCTAGAAAGTTGTCTTCAATTCCATCAAGGCTATGTAAAGCATGGTTAGCCACCGCAAGCTTCTCTTGTCTCGCAGGACCTGAAGGTGTCATAAGTGACCATCTATTGTGCACTTCGTCTAATGCCTCTTGCAACTACTCTGTTTTCTAGAAGTTGTCTCCTAAGATGATGCACATGTTATGTAACACAAGGCAAGTACTCACCAACTCAAGCATGTTCTTTAGTTTCACATCAACTCTCTTTAACAATATTCGCCACCTACCCCTAAGCATTCCAAATGCTCGCTCAATGCACATACGAGTGGAACTCTGAACAAAGTTCCAGTTGTATTCCTCTCGAGTTAACCCGTCTTTGTGACCTCTGAAGGGAGCTAACATCCAAGGCCGGCATGGGTAGGCCGCATCTCCAACCAAAGCATAAGGCGCAAGCTTTTCAGCTTTGCAAAATTGGCCAATTGCAGTTCTTCCCCATAAGTTGGCGTCATGCATGGATCCGCTCCATCCTATGTCAAAATTCCAAAATAGTCACTTGCTAGATACAACATCTTGCAATAGTATAGAGTGAAATCCCTTACGATTGTAATAATCAGCCGCATGTAGACTAGGTGTCACAATTTGTACGTGAGAATCATTTACTACACCAACCACAAACGGTATTCCATGAATATCTTCAAACTCTCCAGCAAATTTCTCCATAGTGATGGTGGAAGACCACCAAATGAATTTCTTGAGAAGTAACAAATTCACAACATGAGTGAACTGATTAACAGCGTGTTGACTTGTTGATCGATCAATCCTATATAAATCCGCAATGCTTTGCATGGAGTTACCTGTGGTCAATCTTGAGATGGAGACCGCCACCTTCACTTGAATCGGTATAGTCGAGCGCAATGAAAGCGCAAGAGTGGAACACAAGAACTCAAAAGCGGAAAACACATCCATCCGCATGTGACTCTTGAACTCCCTCGGAGTGAATGATCTGAGTAAATTTCAATCAAAAAATCCAAGTTCCCCCAACCTCTATCATGGGCCATGAACGTCAAGATCTTGTGACTCTCCCTAACATGAATCTTTGCACCATAATTGATATGGAATAGGTTTGTTGTCAGCTCCACATCAAGATGATACTCTGATCTCTATCAAAAGATTCCATCGTGCAAAACAATGTGAACTGCAATAAAAGAAGAAAAATGAGACTGTGGACGTCATTGTCCATTGTGGGAATCTATGGAAAGAAAGTGAAGATGAATGATGATTTAGGATGCAAGAGTCTATTGCGGAAGTGAAGAAAATGAGCACTGAAGCTTAGGAATTCGGAGTGAGAGAGAAGAAATAAAAAAATTTGAGGTGATAGTTTTATCTTTTTCTCGAAAGGTGTACTTTATACCTCTCTTTTCATTCCTGCCACTGCCGGTCGCGTGGTAACCGTTAGTGGATAATGTCCAGGTGGACGAGGAATGCCTACGAAGATTCTTTCTTTCGCTTGCCAGGAGCTCGTTGCCGGCTGCCGGTAGTGTGGTAAAGACCTTAGTTGCTTGATAAGTGTGTTAGTTGACAACGTCAGGTCAGCAATCTATGTGCTTGTTAGGATTATCCGCCACGTCATCCATCCACTAGGAGTGAAATGGATGGTGGATATCAAATCTTATCTTCTTTTCAGTATATTTATGATAAGTCTTTTGGTGTATATTTTACGTCATACTAAATCTAATATATACACAAATTAGATATAATGTAGGTATTTGAGATTCAATGAAGTTTTTTATATTGAATTTATTTGTTATGAAACTCGCACAAATGATGTAATTGCAAACATGCAGACAACAACGTGGTCTTTGTATCAAATATAATGAAGTATAAGAAGATTGATGAGTTCTTTCATACTTTTAATCCATAAATTGAACTTTCTCTTTGTTTTCTTGAACTTTTTTTTTCTATTTCTATTATATTATTTCCATCACTAAAAGTAGAAATCAAATGATAATGAAAAGTCATCAAATAATGATATTTCATAATCATTTAGTAACATGCTACTCTTTTTATTTTAGATAATATTAAGTATCACATAATTGATATGCAAAAAAAAAGTCGCATAACTATCATACATGAATTAACTATAGAAATCAAATATGAAGCAGCAAAAGCAAAAATGATTCTATATGATTGAAATATTAAACATTGAAATGAGATTAAAGCACCATGCTATAAATTTCTATTGTGATAATCGAAGTGCATTACATTTTGAGTATCAATTGATGGATAACAAGATGAAGCACATTAACATCACATATCAGTTTTTAAAAAATAGAATCACCAATAAGAAGGTTGACAAACAACTGTTACTTATGATTGATCATGCATTCATCAATGTTATGTTATTTTTAAAATGTGTACACATTTTGCAATTTTTGCATAAAACGCACAAGTAAAGTTTAATATCAATTTTGGTATATATTTATATGATTTTATTCTTGCATTATTTTTTCTACGTCTTATTTTTAATTAGTTTTAGTTTGCATAGAGTACTTTGTCAAGTTTACTCTTAGGATTTCTCGCATAAATTCTACAAAGAAACTTGGTTATATGGGTTGAAGAGTTTAGAGACACCAAAAGATGACTAAATGGGGAGATTGTGAAGAGTTATCTCAAAGCTTGTAAACTCAAGCTAGTGTCATTCTAATTTGTAGATTTAGGATTTTGCCACTATTAAAGATAGCTGGTACTATTTCTCATTTACTTAAATTTAGATTTTCACATTAAAATATATATGTCGTTGTGATAACTGTATCCATATAAGTCAACCGCATGTTTTTGTGTCGGTTATTGATTTGGATTTCTTTTCTGTGAAATATCTAACATAAAGTATCTAACATAAAGTATACAACACATGAATTGGTTCAAAGTTGATATATTCAGTACTAGGTTAGTTGTTGTTGTGAGAGCTACACCATCCTAGGATACAAAGGACATTTCTTTACTTAAGCAACTATTTTCAAAGGAAACGGAAAGTGTGGGCTAGAATCACATCTCTTCTCAAGCTGACATGAAGCAACACTACTAGGACAAATTATAATACTAAAAAAGCTTGCATCATGCTGAACTATGTGGAAATACCAAGAATAAATTACAAATGAGCATTCATCTTCTTCCGTACCCTGAGGACCACACCTCAACATTCATAGTTCCACATCAAAATGTCGGATCCTGCCTGCACTCATAAAAAATTTGCAAACATACATGGAAGAAGAGTGAGGAACCACAGGAAGTGATAACCCCATAAAAGCTACAAAACAAGAAGGCAGTAGATGTCTACGTAGTTTACCTCACATCCCGAGCCGGTACAGCCAAAACAAATCACAAAGGGGCACATGCCGTTGAGATTTATTTATTTATTCATTCATTCTCTGAATTGTTGTGGGAGCCGTATAGTATCAATCTCTTCCAACCACAGCACGGCAAGGTTGTCGAATACTTTTGTTGTGCGATGTACCTATGTAGAAATCAGATCTGAATAATATCCAGATTGGTAGACCATGGAGGAAGAGATCAAAACTCAATTTCCACTTGTCTCTTATCGAAAGCTGAGGAAAAGAAGCTGGAAAATGAAAGACCAACATACATAACTCATAAGCATGTGCACTACGGAATTTATATGCACTCGTGGATAGAAACGGTAAAAGAGCATAAAGGGACAAAAAAGATAGAGAGAGGAATATAAATCTAAGTTTTTATATTAAGTACCACCTTGCATCATCACATAAAAGCTTTGGCATACCTACAAGTCAAAAGACGGGTCGGAGGAATTTGACCGGGTACAAGGATGGCAAACACAAGGTCTTGTGGGTAATCCAGAGTACCATACGGATGGAAATTTTGTCTGGTGTAGTTAAGGTTCAAGTGATCTGTATGGCACTCATGGCATGAACCCACTCGAATCATTGAACTTTAAAGATCCCAGCAGTCTCATTTATCCACCATCATACACAGCCTTGATGCAGATAGATTTGGATGATCGTGGTGCATGAAAGGTCCACCAGATGACATCATAATCTGATTCGAAATGAAAAGGTATTCATGAAAAAGCACGTCTTCCTGAGTCTCAGAAGAATGACACAGTGGAAATAATACAAGAAGTAGCTCGCTGCGTGCCCAACGCCCGGACGGGTCTGCAGCGACAGCGAGCAATAAACGAGAGGATAAAACAGTTTAGACTCAGCACAACCTGCTGGACGACAGCACATGAAGCAATAAAGTGGAACGCTCAGATGAACTCGGACACATGAAATTGAGGCAGAAAATTAATAAAATAAACCAGTGCAGTCAAGGTTGAGTGAAAGCATAGTCGATTGTCCTAATCGAAGGTTCTCAACTTTCAAATTCAATATCCACGTCTTTCTCAAGGTGGTAGATGAACGTTTTTTCTTCCAGTAGCATCTCGCCCGATAATAAACAGTAAGAACGCAGTAAGTAGGTGGGCATCTTCTAATGAAAGAGAAGATACGTTCTGAACTGTAGCCTCCGCGATGACACGAAGAGAAACAGTGCGAAATATGAACTTTGAATGTTGTAATGGCACGTGCTTAAACTTTGTGCCCAGCGAAACAGAATTCGAACAGGTATTTCTAGAACAACAGGAGCACCTCTGGTTAGATGAGAAAGTGCAGAACTCTAAATCCGGTCATGACAGTCTTTTGCACTCATCAAACCACGAATCAATATGACGGAACTCAGTCTGACAGATTATAATTTCCGCTAGTGCTTTGTTGGTACACTTTACGTGAGAAATGAACAAGATCCGGAGTTCGAACGTGATATATAAGCAGCTGTAAGTCGTCGATTCCGGATCTTTCTGACACCATCCTCAAATCTGGTGTGCAGAACAAACGTCAAGTGGAGGTAAGCAAGAACTGAGCCAAGCCTTTGAAAGACCAAAAAGCAAACACTTCATTCATTCTTCAGTGAGGAATGTATGATGATTAAATATCTAGCCGTAAGTCGTGGCTCTGTGCAAACATTCCGATCGTTTTAGATGACCTTATTACCTTTCTAGACAAATAAAAAGCCTCCTGCATGGTTTGAATGAGGGTTGACATGTACTTGTGTACATATTCAAGGTAAAAATGCTGAGTAAAGAGTAGTTGTATTGAGTGACTCAAAATAAGACGGCCTGCAAGCATGAAAAATTGTCTGAAACCTTCTGGACTGAACGCATAAGTGCACAACTTGTAGCACTCAAGTCTATCAAGTAGATGAGAAGAATCACATAAACGATTAGAAGTCACAACTGGATTGTTTCAGTGAAATAAGCACTTTTTTGGGGACTAGAAGAAAACCTCTTGGAAGTCATAACGCGAGTTGGAACAATGAATCCATTTTTTTGAAACAGCTCTGTTCGTCGATGAAGTTGAATTTAGTACTTGTGAAAGACCGAGCCAGGCGTTATATCTGGGCCAGTAGGTATGATTGACAACTTCTACCCCCTGCGTGACTTCCAAGAGGTCTTCAAACGAAAAGTTCAATTTCACGTGCAGGTGTAATCTTTAGAAAACCAGTTCTCGCTCTTTATCGAAAGTTCCTCGATACACCCACGAACAACCAGCTATGTACTTCGTGAAGGTAAGTACATCTCTCTAGTAGTCGTCCGAAGTAACCTCTGCAACCTCTGGATCTTTACTCCAGATCTGAAGCAAAGACTGTACAGAAAAATAAAAGACCCTCTGTTCGTACAGACTCAGAAAAAACCTGATCGATGGTATTGATTGCAACTCATGCTGGCTAGCGTGTACTAATGCTGAGTTTCGTGTCAGTATGGGCATGATACCGGTAGGCTGAAGTGGCAGAAAGACAGTACTGCATCTTGTTGGAATCTTGTGTACCCTTTGTACAATACGGTACGAGAAAAGAGAATCCGGGCTTTGAGGGTACAGTGCAAAACCAGGATTGCATGAGACTTCTCAGCTCACTATTGTCTGATCATGTGTTTCGGCCCCTTCATTCGTCGAGACTGTGGTATATCCTCTCTCCCACTAACGAAATGCTGTTCTTCCAACATGAGACACTCGTTTGCTTCGTGACCACAGGCATGATGATTTCAGAAATGAAACTTGAATCACTGGACGAGCTGCAGGCAGTGAAGGCTGGTCCCAATAGGTTTGGAGCGTTGAGGGTTGCGTGAAATATAAGACAATAGGACATTTGGAGAAGAATAAGAGAGATGCCTCGATTGACCGCCATGCTGATGGAGAATCCATCCCCCACCCCCACTGTTGAGAGGAATCATGGAAACACTAGCTGAACATCGACGCATTATACACATCGAGCGAAAGCAGACTGTGAAGTAACACCACGAACATACAGTAAGCACCGACAGAAGATGAAGGGACGGCTACTGTCAAGAGGTCTAACGGTCCAAATCAAGTTTTGCTTGCTTCCAGAACCAGCGCGTGCTTGCTTGAATGTTCAAACGAGGCGGAGAGAGCAACAGCTCACTTTTTGGGAGCTACGCTACAGTCATGAGGTAGTGGAACACAGAGACATGTCTCTCTGTGTTCCACCGACTGCACAGTACATTCGTCGAACTACAGTATGGTGAAGCCGCTGAACTGCTAGCATCACAATTGCATCCAGCAACATGTTGATTGCCAAGGTGTAGTTGATTCTAGAAGTCGCCACTTAGGCCCTGGACAAGTAGACTCATAGCTCTGCCGATCACAGGCCCAGCAGAGCAGAACGAAAACATATGTTGCATCTTTGGAAGCAACAGATAAAGGCCACAGGAGTTTTCACTTTTACTACCGTATCTTCAATCATCGCGAGTGCAATGATACGGGTCTATTTTTCTGGAAGATCAAACCAGTAGGAATGGAAACAACTCTCATCGAACGATAACCACCGTCAAGTCTAAACTTCCGTTTCCGAAAAGCTCATAAATGCAGGGAATGATGCAAACATGGCCTCACAGGTTATCTGTATTTGTGTAAGATGTTTAGAATGAGAACGGCACATTCATGTTTCAGAAGTGAAAGCAGAATGATCAGGTGGTCACGTTTGCAGTATGACCTCCACAGTCCACCGCTCTAAGAAAAGCATGTGGTCAGATTTACCCGAAGCAATCACAAATGTATGTCAACGGTGAGTGACTTCTCGTCGAGCAAAAGATGTCGGTAGGGCTAGGAGAATATCATTGCGTGAGATTTCGCCGACGAGTGGAAATAACTAGGTGCAGACACCGAGTTGCAATTGGACAAAGTTCCAATAAAGTCTGAATTTGAACAGGGTATTATTCTCGAATAAGTCAAGCTCAACGCTTTGATGAGAACAGGGCTGAAACACAGAGCAGAATCAGCTTTCTGTTGACCAATCAATGTGGCTGTCTGATCTGATCAAAGTTCAGTAATAGAAATCTCCAAAGCGTCCAGAGATTGTTCTTTCAGAGGACGTCGAGCTTCTTTGTGTAAGTTGAGAACAATTAGTGCCTCTTACTGCAGGCTCCAAAAGCGAATCGAATATTCGATGGCATCCCGGTGCGAATATTCACATGGTGGTAGCCATATGGCACTACCATGTGACACAGAGTCTTGTACCAGCTGAATGATGAAGAATACGGACTGTTGCATCAGAAGACGAGGGAGGTCATAGCCCTACCTTAGACATGGATGTTCTTGTAACCAGGTCAAGAATGGACCCTTGTGTACCCGTATTTGACACAGGGCCATGTGGTACCACACATGAAAAGGATTGGTGGCACAAGTGTCACCGACGTCAGAAAGAAGAGACAGGAGACAAATTACGACATACAGAAGCCCGGAACCTTAAACCTCTCCGGCTCATGGTGGTAGAGGTTTACACTATGGACACGATGCCAACAAATGGGTTCCGAGACATTGTGGTGACGCGGGGAATTTCACATTACTGTGATCCAGAATGAACACATCAATTGAGGCTTTGCTCTGTTCATTTCTGTTCCGGGATTTGTTTCATTCTATCCAGCTTCTACATCATATTACAATTCAGTTCAACCGGTTCGAGTGAGACTGCAAGATGTAAAAATTGGCTCCGGCATCTCTGTCGCTGCAGCACTGTCGTCACATGGCCTCTACAAAAGATTTTGAACACTGTATTACTCCAGATTATGGGATAACGGGATAGGAATTTCTTCTCATAGCCTCCGAATGAGCTCGAAAGCACGAAAAGCAAGAACTGTGAGCCGGAATTCTTGATAAGAGATTCAACCCATCGATTCGATGCAGATTATGATCATCGTCCGATAACTCTAAAAGGAACACAAACCTACATGTCACAAAGTTGTAGTGTGAGAAATAGGTCACCACGTTATTCAAAAGCGCTTCGAGGACGAATAGACTTTTCCAGTAGCAGAGTCTGAGAGAGAGCTTCTGCAGCTGCGAAAAAATACTGTCAGAAGAGAAAGAAAAGGGTGGTGGCTAAAAAAGCACAGCCTACTCCTTTCTCTAATAAGGCCAGTTTTGAAATTTCTGAAAAAATGAAGCGTTAGTAAACAGTGGGTTCAGATGATAAAATCTGGACAGAATTGATCTCTAGACAAGATCAGAACAGTTGTAGGGTGTGGAAGAATAGGGGATGAGAGCATACAGCGGTGCCATCCTTCTTGTGAAGTACCCGTATGACGCTGGCTTGCAGTTGACTTAATGTACTTTTAACAAGAATTCAGTACCTGATTCTAAGATATTACTGACAGCAGTGGAGAGCAGAAAGCTGAGGAAGTACAACGTATCTTGCTAGGGCCACATGGCCATGAAAAAGGTCAGCCGACCTGTGCAGAGCAATCAATATATAAGGGCATTGAAGAGCAGTGTACATCTTGGAACCCCTGTGCTGTGAACAAGGTGGCTATAGAGGAGATGACAACAGTCCCCAATCGTCACCGACGAAGAGTCACACGCAGAAAATCCAAGCTATCACGATCAGAACTGTAGGCTTGTCCTGGACGATCTTTTCTTTGAGCATGACCACCCAATCGCTGGGCATTTCTGACGTCTCTGCCTAGCACCGCATTTCATCAGGCTGTGTGGCATAAGGCAGCTATGGATGCGCGTCTAAATCTTCTCTTTTCCTTCATTCCACTGCTTACCTGAAGAGAGGAAGCCCATACGATCTTCACAGCATGTCCAATGCGGATTGGTCACAGTTCAAGTTGTTCAAATTCACCTAGAATTCAAATCTAGGAGTAGCATTTACTGTGAGGAGTGACTTCAGTACTGACAAGCCTTTTTCCCACTGGTGACTTTGTGCAGGCAGGACCCAGGGCTTGTGTTTGGCATTCAGTTTCATCACTTTGACCACCGGCAAGTACGACGCGTTTGCACCAGTCACTGATTCATAGGAGCTCAATAACGTGTTGAAGTTCTCTATGTCCTTCTCAGGACCAGAGTGCTCCAGTTTTCTAGCTACATACATGACGAAAAAGATCACGTGATCGCACGGTAAAAGGTTTCATTACAATTTCACCCTGCGTAGTGAGGTCTCAAGAGATAAAAACCGAATAGTGATCGGTTGAGTGACGTGCTCCAGGCGTGGGAAGAATTCCTTCCTACCAGTAGCAAGGTTGAGTGAATTGCCCAAGGTAGTTGCTTATAAACTTGGAACACTGAGCTGGTTGGACGTGTGAGTTGTCGGCCTCTGTGCCTACTGGACTCCTAAGAAGGCTAAGTAGCAGCTGATGAAGTGAATTATTTGAACGGAAAAAATTTTGAAGCAAAGAGAACGATAGATTCAGATAGAAATTTGCAAGATTGAGTTTGACATTCAAGGAATATTCCATTCAATCAACATGTTATCATTTCATTCCTTAAAGTTGTTTCTAAAATACCTTATTACTTAGGCATAACTCAATTTCCATGCATGCTTGTGGATTCCGTGTAAAGTGTATCCCTCTTTAGCCTTCGTACCATGAAGCCTCGAATGATTTTAATCTCGCTTGATTCTTGAAGGGAGTACTCAGCCCATTCGATCGGAAGCTCCCTGTCGCCACTCACACTCACTGAGCTTTTTGAGTGCAGTTATAATGGCAGCATATGCCTCATGTGAAGATGAGGACACTGACAAAAATTCACACGTGACTTCCAGCCTAGATAATTATTGTCTCTGACTATTTCTGGCCATTCTGTACTGCAATATCTACTTGCGCATAACCCTGCTCGAAGTACTCTTACCTGACAAATGTCAATGGATTGCTCCAAAGTGCCATTAACATGTAACGAATTCACTCTTCTCAACGACATTATTTATAGCTCTCGCGCATTCTAAGATTTACTTGGTAGATTGAAGGATGATTTCAAGTTGTGCGTCGGAACCTTATGCACACCCTCTCGCCCTTCTTATATCTTTTTTATTCCGAAATTTATTTTGAAATGTAAATGCTGATGCGCCATGCCCTAGCTGCGTGAACAGGTTTGGGAGTACAGCGACAGCACTTATCATAAGGAAATATTCTTCGTGTTGTACGAAGCCACTGAAAGCATTGAACGAAATGACAGATGCAAGAAGCCGAGAAAGTGTTCTAAAATCATCAGCTTGCACAGAGAGGAGAAATACGACGGTGACTCAGTTTATGAACCACTTCGTCACAGGTCCCCATCTTCTGAGGACGCTCGGTTGGGCTACTCTGATTGCTGCATGCTTTCGGATCATCCATCCGTTTCTGCCATTTCTCCAAACGTGATAAAGCTCAAAAAGGCTAGAGCAGGCTCGTTACCTTCCGTAGCGTTCGTTCTTTAGACACATTTCATTCCTGAACGTGAGGATGATTCAGATAGATCTCGAACACCTTGCTTTCCATTTGCTCATTCGAGGCAGATGACCTGAAAGGTTCTTTTCTTCCAAAAGAGCCTCGAGGGGATGGAGAGACACAGCGTCAACAACCAAATTGATATCCATCCACGATCATGTAGCTCCCATTTCCAATATGTAAATGAGCACAGTAATCGTCGTACACAAATTACTTTTCTCAGCTCAAACGTGGCATAATGTTTCAGGCGTGGACGAGAAAATTTGATTATCTTCCGGGGAGAAGCGATTGATAATTCATGATACGGAAATGTAAATCGATTTCAGAAAACCGGAACAGTATTTCGGATTTTATAAACCAGTTTTAGTCTTGATTGACTTGTCCAAGAATCTTCTGTGTCTTCAAAGTTACAATCCGCAACTCAAAGATTCGATGAGTAAGCAAATCGTGCATAAGGTATTATATTCAGGTAAAGGTTGTCCCTGTGTCTATTTTTATTTCTGTTGCTCTTGAGGCGGATCAGGTGCCAAAAAGATGATGCAACGTCGTGTAAACCTGGATATATTTTATTCCCAAAAGGTCCTAGGAGCAACTTTTGGCGACTATCTTACTTGTCCATGCATCCAACCTGACAAAAGTGAGCGCGGGAAGGAATATGATGGGGCCTTTCTCGCTCCCAAATCAACACATGGTGGTGCCAGTTGGACGATTTTTTGAACGAGTGCATTCAAGCAATATGTGAGGAAGGGTATGCCCATTATGAACGAGTCGCCAAGTCTTCCCCCCATCATTTCCAAAGTCTAGACCTCGACTCTCTGGGCTGGACTCTGGGCCCTCATCCCTTCCACTCATATCGAAACTTTGCTCACAAGAGCATCATCTCGGACTCATATCCAAGACTTCTTCGCTAACTGTCTGTTTCCCATTATCGACTTTTTCTCACGCCCATCTCGCCCACCACCACCTCTCTGTCTCCCATGCTCCTGTCCTTGTGCCCAAAATATAGAGAACCATAGTCTCCTCCATATGGCACGAGAGAATCGCAACTCTTACGTATGATTTCAGAGAGAAGACTGGAGAGCAAAAATCAGTGTACACTACACACGAACACGAACGAGATTGACCCTCATATGTTGATGACATCGTCCACGACGTCCTCAGATGCTCTACTAGAGCAAGCAACTGCACTACAGTTCAGCCATCCAATCCAAGTCTTAGTGGCACGACAAGTTGTATTCAGGTCAGAGATTTGACATTCACAGGATAGAGGAGACATCATCCTGAATTCGATGAGACATGTCTGAGCATCATGGTGTTGTCGCGGTGAAAATTATGATTCGCGACCGCGAGAGCTCGAAGAACGAAGGCCAACTGGCGGGGCAAAAAAAGCTTGCTTTTATGCTTGCTGACTTCAACTCCTCCATGCTTGTAACGATCGAGAGAGCAGCTGCTCATTTGTGAGCTCGTGGCCAAGTCAAACCATGGAACTCAAGTCCAAATATTAATAGACAAACATTGGATTGCATTGCCCGCTCAGTAGCGTTCGGTCGTATACGCACTGAGACCAGGCATAGTAAACTGCAGTGGCAGTGCAGCACGTTTTGCCTTCTGGACCTCATGCACTCACGTTTGACTGGAGGCGCGGTCAAAAAGCGCCAAGCTGCAGTTGCAGCTGCAACACATCACAGTAGACCATGGTAGCTGTGCCATGAACTACAGTGGAGCTTTTGGCGATCCCTTGCTTACGTCGTCGTCCTACATCAAACCAGCCCATTTGCTACTCTTGACTGTTACAGCTTTCGTATGAATTGTGCCTTCTCCACATACTCCTCTCTTTCCCACGTTGAAATCTACGGTCACGGTGTAAATAAAATCTTGAAATTAAAATTGTGTACATCTGCTGTCCGACGAAAAGGGTAGTTATCATATAAATTGAGTCGTCATGGAACAAGAGTCCAAGGAGCTCACTTGCGGTACTAGATAGGAATTTGAATTGAGTATTGTTATGTTTCGGTCAGGTTGTCTGTTAGAAGTTGTCTCTAGTATATGAAGTCGTTAGTTTTAAGATATCCGACCACGCAAATTTTGCTCTTTCTGTTTTATTTCAAGGCTCTGCTTCTTTATTCTTCCATGCACACTCACAATGAACTTTTTTTGTCTTTGCTTAGAGCTCAGCCCTGATAATACCACAATCCGGGTAATATTTTGCTAATTATTCCCTATAATAGCTTACATTCAATGAAAAGTCACTGGAATCTTCATTTTTAGCTGCGGATTTTGAAGAATACTTTTAGCCCACATGCAGATTCATGGAAATAAATTATTGCCCTGAACACCCCATGTTCTCAGTCATCACCGTTCCATATGATATCGATTACATACAGTCTATATATATATATATATATATATATACCCCATCGAGACTCGGTTACCCGCAGTAAAGATTTATTATATTAGATGTTACAGCTTGCAACTAGAATAATCAACTGAATCCCATGGACATAGATATTTGTTTATTCGTGAACAGCTTATTAAATATATTATGAGAGCGCATGAAACACCATATGTGTTGAATTTTCAACCATTGGATGTGTTAGTATGCATCTTGTGTAGACATATATATCCTATAGAACATTATGAGTGCATCAAGCTCGCTCCTACATAACATCTATACAGTTGCTTTTAGAAAGAGGAACTTGATCTTAGACATAGGTTTAAAAAACAACATTCTTTATAATAAATATATCCTTCTGTCGTCTTATTTCTGTCCATGCATCACACGCTCCGCTACCAAATGTGCATGTCATGTATGGTTGTTGAATAAGATAATGGGCTTGTTGAAAGTTTGGAACCAAATCAAACTTTTGCTCATCATCGTGAATAGTGATCTTATGTCATCCAAGTGAAAAAACATAGCTATTTATCCCATGTAAGTTGAAATGTTTTTTTTTTTATGGCGTGTGATTACCTATTTCTCATGGATGGAGAGCGCATGCGTATGTAACCATCTACCAGGGCGAGG